ACACACTGCAGAGCACAGAGCTGCTCTGAGCCAGGAGCCACGAGGGGTCAGTGCAGAACATGGGATGGCAGTCAGTCCTCATATTGCACATCTGGGTGTCTGTAAGATGCTAACCTGGCAGTGTTACCCCGTTTTAGCAATCACCCAGAATTCTTTGTGGGATTGCATTACTGCTCTGTGGTGAGCAGAGCAGTGCCGCGTCTGGATGGGCTCCAGCGGTGGTTCCTGTGCTCCTGGTCAGGCTCTCATCAGAAAGGCATTTTTAATCCTTTTTCCATACAGCAGAAGCATTTTTTTCAGGGAATTCCTTTAAATAAAATTACTGTTACTAACCAGAAGGGGTAAATATGACACAAACATAAGAGGAAGAAGAGGTGAGGGGAAAAGCAAACCAAAGATGTGGAGCAGTCCATATTTAACGCTCAGGATTTATCACCCTCCCCATTTATATTTTCATAATCCATCCTGTTTGCCTTTGTGCTTTCTTACTAACAATGGGAATAGCATGATTTTTCTTTCTCTCCTTTATTCATTAACTATTTTAGCTATTGAAGTAAAAATGCATTTTCTTTCATTTTCTTCATCCCTCGCTGGTGGGAGCTGCTGGGCTGCTGCATCGCCCAGGCCTGGGCTGGAACTTCTCCTCTCTGTGTTGTTTCCATGGCTACAAAGCTCTCTGCTAATGAATTATAAGCTTGCATTACGTTATGGAATTAAGCTTAAAATACAGTCTGGTGAAGTATTAGAAATGAACTCTCCTCATTTTGAGTTATCAGCATCCTGACAATTAAGTCGTATACACGAGGAAATGGATAGTCCTTCACAACATCTATAATTACATGGAATTGGAAATGCAATAATGTAAGAAACAATCTGCCACAATGATGGAGAACGTGTCGCTGAGGAGGAGGTTTTTTCCCTCCAGATTGTGACTCAAAATTTACTGCACGTGTTTTCTTCATTAAAGGCTTGCTAATGGCTCTGCCTGTTAGGTGTCTGGACTGGGAAGTCCAGCAGGGCTCTGTCCTTCCGTGGGTCACTAGAGAACTACTTCAGCTTCTCTCTTCCACACCTTCAGTGTGAGTTCTGCCTGTCCCTGCCTGCTTCTCAGCACACTGTGCCACTTGGGATGGGATGCAGTTACCTGCAGCCCTGCGATGCCATTCGGTTGCCTGCAGAATTAGGCAGGGAAAAGCTGGGAGCAAGGCTGGCATGGGACACAGAGACATTTGAGGAGTGTTGGGGTCTGGTGCATTGTGAGGCAGAGATTTCATTAGATTTAATTCTGGCAAGAGGACACAACCGACATTAAGAGTTGAGACCCCAGATGCAGTCTGGCCACACTGCTGACCATCACAGCTGCAGGATTTTTTGCAGGGAACTGAAGGCAGTGCTGCTCCCTGCTGCTGAATCTCCCACTTCCCATTCTCAGCAGTGTGTGGGAGCTCCATTTCTTTTCCCAGTAGGTGTCAGTGGAACCAATACATAGCAGATGGAACGTAGCGAGAAGATGCATGCACAGGACATTATTCACACCTCCCCACATGCACTATTCAGCATTGTTAAAATTCAGCCTTGTTAAATATATTTCATTTGCCACTTTCTCCTCTTGAATTTGCCCCCAGTCCATCTCCCCATTGAGCATCCGGGACTGCTGGGAGCGGGTGACCAAACAGGGAAACACATTCTCAGTGGCCTGCATGACACCAGGCCTTGTGTTGGCTTCCATGTCATGCCAAGGGAAATGATGTAGAGTTTTCCCTTCTGAAATGGTGCATGAAAGGTGACCTGGAGGGTTGGAACCCAGGACTGCAAACTCAGCTGTGACTGAAAGCAGGGAGTGGTGATGGGTTGCTTTCCCCTAAACCACTTCTTTGCTTCACACTCATTAGATTATGGAGAAGAACATGTATTATAAACCCATGAACAGTTTTTACACTTAAGATTTAAAAAAAACAGAAGCAATAAGCATTTTTTAACTGTGAAACTGAGGTGTTTTCCAAAAAATACGTCCTAAGAGATTCTCCAAAGTATCACACTGTAACTTCAGCAGCGCTTCATGAAGAACTGCATTTGGGCTAAATGCATAAAGTGTGTCTCACCTGTGGTTTCAGGGTAAAAGAACGGGCCGAGATAAGGTGCGTCCGAGCCGGAGGAAGTAAGATGATGTGCATGTCTTGTTTTCTTTTAAGATTAACCCTTCTGCTACCAGTGCAGACTAATTCATCTTTACCGTACTGTTTTCTGGGTTTGTTTGCTGCAAGCTGGCCTTGTTGTGCAATGTTGTACTTTTTACACAGACAAAACCAGTTTATAGTATACTGAGAGGGGTTGTGGACAAATTTAAGCAAGCACCCACTATTGTAAAATCCCCTAATGTATGTAATCTATATGATGTTTTGAATTGTGATGTTTGTAATGCTCTAAAAATGAGGAAGTCCCAAAACAATGTGGAGCATTTAAATAACTTTATGAGAATGGCTCTATATGAAATACATTTTCCTCTAAGACAGCAACCAGAAGGCTGTGATTCTGGTTAGCTCTTCTCCTTTCAGATGTCCCTCTTCCATCTGTTTTCCATACCATTCCTTTTATTCTAGCCATACGCAACCACAAGAAAACCTGTTTCAGTTCAAGACACTGACTTTAGGTAAACATCTGAGAATATACATGTGTTGGGCTGTCTATTAGAGCAAAGCTGGAAGAGGAAACAATGGATCTGTCCAAGATCCAGAAAGATCTGGACACCATTTCACAGCGTCAGCTTTAGAAAACAAGGTCTGCGGTCTCACACCTGGGTGCCATGGTCTGTGTGTGTCTCGGGTCCCAGCACCCTGCTCTCAGCTGTGTGTCCAGAGCTCCCTGCCACAAATCGCTCTCCTTATGCACACTTTACCTATGCAAAAAAACCATTGGTCTCTTTATTCCTCTATGGTCAGTATTGTTGAAACAGCATTCTGTGGAGCTCTGGAAAATACTTCTATCCAATATCTGTCCTTCTTTCAGTGCTTGAATTGGCCTTGACAGATCATATGTCTCAAACAGATTTTCTTGCCTTCTAATTAGTAGTAAAGCTATTCATCACGGGCAATCCTGGACGCAGAGGTAATGGTGAAAGAAATGGTGTGTGGTTTGACATCTCATTTATGCAAATTAAAACACACTGTGCTCCTCACCTTCACTCTATTTTAAGAACAGTTTTGGTTTGTAGTTCCTGATCTGAAATACATAAATTCTTTCTTACATGTAGAAACATCACCCCCACATGTTAAGGTAAACACAACTTTGGGGTTTTGGTGAGTTTTTTTAGTGTGTTTTTTTTTTATTTCATTGACTGACGGCTCAGTCTTGTACAATTCTTAAGGCCCAGTGAGAGGCCGTACTCCATGATACCACTGGATTCCACCAGCAGCAGGAGCTGCCATTGGGCAGTGCTTTGCAGGACTGGGAATGTAGGCTGGTGCCCAAGACTTGCCCTTGCTAAAGTTTTGTGCAGCCCCTGGTCCTGTTCGGCATCTCCAGGTGCTGCTTTCTTACAAGTAAGTCATCACAGTGGTGGAATGAATGCCATGTTTTAACAAACGAACTACAAACAAAACACATCAAAAAAGTATATCAAAAATGCCAAAATTCATATCCGCGTGGCAGACAGAAGATTTTCTGCAGTTATAAAACAGAGTATGGCCTTGTAAGCACAGTGTGGTTGGTTTACCAGTGGGCCCCTTGTCATGCCAATGGCAGGAGGGGCTGGAGGCCGAATCAAGGCATCCCTTCCCATTTCAGACATCTAAACGTGTCTGGGGAGGGAAAGGTTGGTATCTTCAGTTTCCAGTTGAGCTGCCAAGGTCATACGCCAGGCGAAGCCTTTAGGCCTTTAAGGCCTAGACTTACTGTGTGACTCTGAATACACTTTGGTTACCAGACTTTGGGTTTTTTATCTGTAAAACCAATCATATGCAAGTGCTGTCCTTTTGTGGTGTAATGACAGAAGTAATTATCTGTAAATGTTGAGCACATGCCAATGGCATAAAATAAAGTAACTATATTAGAGATTATTTACTATGCCAACTCACTAGCTACTTGGGGGAAAGCATTTACATTTCAAAATTATGCTATTATTAAACCTTCTTGGCTTTGCTTCTGCTGGTATGTGGGATAAGTTTGAGAACAAGAGGGATATTTTGTTGTAGCCTGCATTATCTTGTGGTGAATCTTACTTTTTTCTCTTTTGTTAACTTTGAGATTTGAAATGAAACTTACTTGAGCAATTATGTGGTGTCTCATGTGAAAATACTGAGACCATTGCAACCTTCTACAAACCAGACTGTCTAGCCAAGACAGAACCTTTGTATGTAATATTTCCCTCCCTCCCTTTTCCAGATCAACGCTTGATTGAAAATCAAAGTTGATTGTAATGCTAGTTTGAAAGTGGCCATGTTCATCTGCATTAATCCTCATGTGTTGTTTTATTGATGCAGGTTATTTTTCTTAATGCATGTTAAATATTTATTAACTCTTGCTATGCAGAGTGTATTTGAGAACTACATTTTAGAAGTGAATGTGTTGAAAAGACTGTTTTTATCTAGAGTACTCTATATAGATGATAGCATGGTATTTTTGAAGAACGTTTTTTGTATTTTGAAACAAAAGCACCAGAGAAGCCTGCTTTTGGCATGAAAATACATGACTTCTTTTCTTTGGCTTTCATTTTTGCTTTGGTTTTGCTTCAATAACCAGATAAGTTTATCTGCTTTTATCTGGTTATACATGAACACGTATTTCCACTTTAATTCTCTCAATAATGTGAAAAGTATTGTTGGAATGAATCTTTGAACTTGTGTCTGCACAAATTTTGTTATGCAGCCTTTCTCCCAAGAATGCCATCTCCAATGTGGTCATCTCCAACCTAGTGCTCACCCAATGACCCACTCTGCTGAGGAAATGGGCTGCTCTTCTCACTTGCCCGTTTTTGTGTATATATGTGTGTGTATGTCCTTTAGAAAGCCAAACTTGGGCCAGCTGGTAACAAAGTCATTACTCCGTCAGAAGACAGGAGTTCAAGTGTGCCATCCAACAATCTGGACAGGGTGAAGCTGACAGATTTCAACTTTCTTATGGTTCTTGGAAAAGGAAGCTTTGGAAAGGTAAGAATTGGTAGTAACTGTTCACTGACGTTTTTTATTCTTGAGGAACAATAAATAAATCATTCTCCTAAGAGGCGAAATCCGGAGTCAAAAAGAAGTGCACTGCAGAAGGAGGTTTTTTAATGCAGAGTAGGGCAATTCCTTAAGGACTGGCAGGCTTCAGTCATGATTGGGCACTTTTTTTTCAAAAATAGATGAAGAGAGAAAAGCCTCACACTATTGGGCAGGTTGTAAGAAACTAACTTTTAAATCCTCACTTCTAAGCAGTTTGAAGGAGATCAGGTCTACCTTCCTGGCTTTGCTCCTAGGTAACTGCCACTTCTGGAAATCAGCAGCTTTGGTAGGGCTGAATATCTGGGACTAATCACAAGTAGTATATATATTTGAAATGTGTTAGTGGAAAGAAAGGACTGCTATTTTTCTGGCTAGTTTAACACCCATTTATATGATGATGTGCCCTTTACTGAAGAAGTCCCCTGGGACTTAACATCTTATCAGCCCTGGGGCAATGTGTCTGCAATTCGCATTGGGGTTTTGGCTCAGGTTTTGTCTGAAATGACTGATACAGCTCATTGCAGTGGGTGAGTAATGATGTTATTTTTGGTGTTTTGATCAAGTTGGTCCGTACCAATGAAAGGGCAAGCTGGATTGCCATCTATACAGCTCACTGAGCGTGTGAGTCACCTTCTCCTTTGGCAGGTAGGAAGATTTTCACTCCTGTTTCTTTTTGTGCAGGTGATGTTGGCGGACAGGAAGAATACAGAGGAGCTCTATGCAATCAAAATACTGAAAAAAGACGTGGTGATTCAGGATGATGATGTTGAGTGTACAATGGTTGAAAAACGAGTGCTAGCACTGCAGGATAAACCACCATTCCTAACACAGCTTCACTCTTGTTTCCAAACAGTTGTACGTGAGCTCTCTTCCTTGCAGCAGTGATGTTTTTCATAATATGTGATCCTGAATTATATCAGATCAATAACCTTTATTATCATCCAACCTATGTATATCATAGCTTCTGCACGCAGGGAACAGTGAAGAAAGAGATACCCCATGCAGTTAACCAAAATCATCCACCCTGAGTGGATGCTTGCAGAGTGTGATCAACGTGTCCTTACCAAAGGCACTTGGAAGAGGTCAATTTTAGTCCTCTGAAAAATGGTGGACAGACCAATATTGCTTAAGTCTCACTTAAGGTCACTAAGTGGGAAAATACTACATAAGTACTCAGATATGTTGTGATCATGTTTCACTTAAGACACCTGGATACGGGCTTTAAATTTTTTTACTTTGCAAGAAAAATCACCCTCCAGAATACTTTATTGCAGTCTTTCTCTAGCTGAAATAATGTGAGAAAGGAATTTAGTATCAGTGGTGAAGATTCAAGATACTTTTGTAAACCCTGTGACTTCCTTTCTTGTCTATTTTTAATTATCTGTAGTATATATATACTGAAATTTATTAGGAGGCATCAGAAATAGGCTGAAGACAAAGATTTTTAACCATCTTTAATGCTTTTTTTGACATTTATTTTTAGCAGACAAAACTATGTGTGAGTAATTATGGGAACAATGTAGGCAAGGAATACATAAACGTGAGTCACTAACATTGGCAAAACTAGACAGCTCCCATCAGTCATTTACTCTTGCAGGTTTTACAAAACATCCCACTTCCATTTCCTGATATATCAATTTTGCCAGAACGTACAACCAGTCCCAATAACCTTAAAGGCTTTATTCCTGATCAGTGCTTATCTATTATTGTGTCTGATGTGTTTATGTGCATGTGTAATACTTTATCCTAGGATCGCCTGTATTTTGTTATGGAATATGTGAATGGTGGGGATCTCATGTACCACATTCAGCAAGTAGGAAAATTTAAGGAGCCACAAGCAGTGTGAGTGTTTATGTTTATCTATTTAAATCACGTAATGACCTTATTTTTATGCTGTAACAGAATTAGCTTTCTCTATCAGCCTATGCTTTAATTCTGAATTAATATTATAGGGAGACATTGCATTATAGTTTATATAAGATATTTCAGTGTGCAGCTTATGAGAAGTTTCTATGATGCTACATTTTATAGCAGTTTTATCTGTGAGAAATCAGGAAATGATGAGAAGTTGTTTATGTACATAGTCCTTTTTGGGTCATTGTACATCTGGTGTATCAGTGAGTAACTGATAATGATACGTAGCATATTTAAATGTGAGCAGACAGAACATCAGTGCCATTTTAGTCATGTTTATAACATCTCATCATCATTTATTAGTGTTTCATGAATCATTTACCAACGAAACTTTCAAATCAAGCGTAACCAATTCTGTTTAAGAAATCCACGGAAATAATTTCTTATTTTGATTTAAGTAATCAGGGTTTGCTTAAATGAAAAGCCTTCTAGATATAAATTTTGAGATATAAAACAAAATGTCAGCAACTCCCTCAAGAAGAGCACGATGGTGTCAGAACATCCTTGGCTCCCAGCTCATGTACCATGTCCAACACCTGTTGAAAATGATACTGCTTTATGACAGCTTCTGCCTGTGGAGCATATTGCAGCACACATGTCTGCAAACAGCTCTGGTTTCAGGGCTGACCTTTCATTTTCTTTACACTAGCCTAAAAAATAGTCTTGTCTTTGGATTATCTTCTTCCCTATAATTTGCGCAGATCCACAGCAACTGGCATCAAACATCCATCAATATTATATATTCTTTTACTACATTCAATAAATATATTTCGTATTGCAATCATTTTAATTATGCAATTAATCCATTAAGAGCCTGTATAAAGGAATGCTATTTCTGCAAATGATTTAACGCCATATGAATTGCAGTGTAAATTGAGCTTCATCCTGAAGTCGGCATTGGTATGTGATTAGAGATAATGACCTGTGTCTGATTGGTGCAGTAGGAGTGCTGTGCTCCAGCTGCTGCACCTTCTTCTCTCTGGTCTAGAAACAAATTTTCAATTAAAAAACAGAAAGCTGCCCTATTTTTTCATCAAATTTTTGACATCGAAGTTAAATTTACCTGTTAAAGTCAATTGGAAGTAAGGTGTCTATTATGTCCTCAAGCTCTAATGTATGTTTTTATACCTTAATGTTATCACTTTTTACTGTGATGCATTTCCAAAATATTTTGTCAGAGGGAAATCACGAGGTAATAAGAAATCCTTGGGCTTTTTCTCTTCACGCAGGTTCTATGCAGCTGAGATCTCAGTTGGGTTATTCTTTCTCCATAATAGAGGGATTGTTTATAGGTGAGTACAATCTGTAAGTAATTTCTGTGCTGTTTTCAAACCCCAAAATGGTTAATTTCTTTGACTTATCAGTGAATTTTTAAGAATTTTCTAGAAATAATCACAAAAGTGTCAGTCTGGTGTTGCTGCACTGTAAACCAACCCCTCAGCTTTACGTGAGCTTTTCTGCACCCTACCCAACTCAACTGAAAACTTGAATATGTAAAGGAAAACGTTAACATTGAATTATTCTGATTCTTTATAGAGATCTGAAATTGGATAATGTGATGTTGGATTCAGAAGGACACATTAAAATTGCTGACTTTGGAATGTGCAAAGAACATATGTTAGACGGAGTAACAACCAGGACCTTCTGTGGCACCCCAGACTACATTGCACCAGAGGTAAATATTCACCATTTCGAGACTCTTACATCCTCTCCATTGACAGTTGTCAGTACAGGCATTTCACACCACCACATGCTGATAGCTGCGGCTCTGGATGCTCTATGGATGGTACTGTTTGTATTTCTGCAGGTGTGTTGAATACCTCTATGAGTTAACACAAGGATACCTGTCAGACTTTGCTAATTTAAAATTTAGTTGATGGAAAACCTAACTTGGTATGGAATCAGTATTTCAAATGTTGTTCACACCAGCAAGACTAAACGAGCAGGCTCACCCCCTTGTGATTATTTAATTTGTAGACTGCAAGTTACTATACTTTACTATACTATACTTGCTTGTGCTTTGGTATGAAGTCAGAGAAAGTTTCTGGGTGTTGCTGATGAGGTCAGCAAACATTTTGTTGTGAGCAAACGTAGTTTCTTTAATGTTTTTATAGGTTCACACAGCTGTCCAAATACATGTAGTGAAAAGATTGTTCAGCATTTTTAGGAGGTTACAAATCTCATTGATTTTCAGGAAGAGACTCATGAAGTCTTGAAGTTTTTCATTGACCTCCCTACAAAGCTGCTTTGGTCGGCTCCAGGCCATGACTTAGCAATACCCTGAGGCAGTGCTTTTGATCTCAGGAAAGTTCTGCTCATTGAAAACCTCAACTAAGCTGTAAGATCAGGGCTTGAATGGAGCTGACATAATAAATCCATCATTTGGCTGAGGTTTTCTGTGACTTACCAATACCTCTGTTGCACTCAAGCCACTAAAGTACTGAAAATCACATTCAGAGACAAACCTAACTGCAGTGTGTCTAAAGTGTGAATGGGATGCTTAGAAACACACGTTTTGAAGCACTGTGATAAAGAAATAGGATCTTACCATTAAGATTTTTAGTCTGGATCAGATTTATATTTCAATACCTTAGGTACAAAACATGAAAAACAAGCACATGTGGTAGTTTGGAAATGATTCAACTATATGAATATTAAACTCTGGTGTTTCTGCTTGCTGAGCTTTCAAGAGTCTTGATTTGTTTGGCTGCAAGTTCAGTGCAAGATCTAGGATCCAAGGTATGCTGCATTTCGCTGAGTGCTGAGCAAGAGGCAGTGCTGGCTGGAACATTGCTGGCTGTAATTGAGTGTTTGTTGGAGCAGAGGAGATCTGTACACGGACAAGCAAATTAGTGTTTAAGGTGAATTTTGCCATCTCTGTGAAATTAGAATGCAAAATAATTTATTTTTCCAGTTGCTAATCCATACTTTTCAGAATGAAATATTGTGTATTATAAAAGCTTGTTTTTTTCACAAATTGCTGTTGCTTGCAATAGGATAACAGAACAGCCAGAGCAGTATTTCATTTTCTTCTGTCAAAACATAAATGAAGCCAGTGTAACACATTGAAAAGTGTCCTGTATGAGACAATAGACTCGTGCCAAAATGCTCACTACAGATCAATGTAGGTTTATTTTAATTTACTGGGAAATCTCCTGTACAGCAATAAACCTTTTACCAGAACTTGAAGAAAATTAGTCTTCCTATTATCTTACAAACAGATCTTACATTTTTGTTAGTTGTGTGATTTTTGTTCGTTTCTGAAGGCATTATGTTGCTGACTGGGTCTGTGACAAACTTCAGAGTAAGGTTCGCATTTTGTTTGCAGGAGCATTTTAGCACATACCCATGGGCTAAAACCTATAATAGATCATAATGAGCATACATGTGCATGTTACTGTTCCCTGTTGCATGGGGATAGATGAGCTAAATCTAAATAAACCGTCTGATGTGAGTGTGTGGCTGTCAAAAATAGAGAATTGGCTCCTTTGGTCAACGTTAAGGGAAAATACCATGGCTGGGGTGCAGAGATCTGCACGGACCACACAGGGACATCTGAGTGGCTTTGCAGAAGCTCAGGGCAATTCTGGCATTGCATTCAGAAAAGTGGACCTGCAAGCTTTGGTGCATCATAGAATAACGCTTTCCTTTTGTGTGTTTGGGGAAGTTAGCATTTATTACTTGATACACTTATATTAATATTCCTCTTTTCAATCATATGCAAATTAAGACAGAAGAGGTTAGAGTTGTTGAATCCCATGTTTGACCACATCTGTTGGGCATGCAGTGGTTCTCTAGCACAGAGTATTTATTGGCATGCTGAACTTTAGCATATAAATATGTATGGTCAGGGCAGCCTTGAAATCGATTAATACTTTATAGTCCCTTGATGAGTCAAGAGAGACTGAAGGAGATGGATGTTAAGAGATTAGTGGGAAGGGATTCTGGCAGCATCGCCGCTGCCTGCAGCACAGGGCTGAACCCACCATGAGCATCCCTGCAGCACCCACAGCACTGGTTTGGAATTTCAGAAGAATTTAAATTTAAAAAATCCTCTCCTGTTCTCTTCCGTTTAATAACCTCAAACCTTAAGTTCTAACCACACATTTTCAAAGATTAAAGGAAGGTAATAGGAATTACATAGGTTTGGAAAGTTTTTTGTGTTAGTTATATTTATTTCTTTTAATAACTGTGGTTTAACTTTTCCAGTAGACATAAGATATGTTCACAGAAGATTCTCTTTCTTGCCTCTGGGATATAATCATTTCATCCCATTTGGCTACCAGCTGCAAGCTGCAGTGATCTAAACATTCCTACAGATTGCTGGCATTAATCTCCATGTCCTGCTCTTCACTGTGACTTCCTTGGAGGCAAAATAGAGAAGAAGGAAAGGAAAAAAGCAGTCAACATTCCTCTGCCAGTTTGGGTTGGTGAGAGAAATTCTTCCTGAGCTCTCAAATCCACAGAACCTGAAAAGGCAGAGCCTTCACACACAATCGTAGGTAGGAAAAATGGGAGATCTGAAATGCCAAAAGGCAGTCATTTAAATTAGTGATGGAAGAGAAGGGGAAGGATCCTATCAATGTTCTGTTCCTTTCAGGCCCGTAGAAAGCAGAGATTGTAGCAGGAGAAGGGTGTGGGTCTTCACTTATAGTCCCATGATGGCCCTCACTGCTCTCTGGGTCTGCTTTACACACTGCACTATTTAGTGATATGCCCCTCTTTGTTTATGTATCCCTATTTATCCTAAAAGATCCCCAAATTCATACATCAGATAGGATTCTGTTGGCAGCAGGCAGCGCTGGCTCTGGGTGCAGCTGGAAGGTAATGCCTGGTGGTTGCTGGGTGAGGAGGAGGGAGCTGCTGAAAACACAACATGTAGAACTTGCTGACTTTGTACCGATGTGTGTTGGACTTTATATTGAAAACTCATCTGCTTCCTCCCACGTGTAATCCCTTCCTCAAAATGAGCATTCTTTCCTCTTCTTTACGTTTTCCAATTAATGCTTGAAGTAACTGCCAGTGTTGTGTGTGGGTATAACTGCTGGTTTCCATGCATGACACACAGGTTGGCAATGAATGTGGCAGATTGCTTTCCTGTGTGTCACTTGCATCACATCCTTACCAGCATTTGGCAGGTGATTCAAATGGGTATTTAATTAGGAATAAAGGAAAACACCTTCCAGTGTTACGTACATCAACTGACATTGACAGTAAAATGTTACTCTTCCTACCTTGCAGTAGATGCAGTGAAAAAGCTGTTCTATTGTATTTGCAGTTGAACTTCATAGAATCATAGAATGGCCTGAGTTGACAGGGACCACAATGATCATCTAGTTTCAACACCCCTGCTGTGTGCAGGATCGCCAACCACCAGACCAGGCTGCCCAGAGCCACATCCAGCCTGGCTTTGAATACCTCCAGGGAACTTTTCTATAGTGGTGCATTTCCAGTCCTAGTTGAACTCAGTGTCTGTGTCTCTTGCTCAGCATCCCACTCTCATCACGCAACCAGTTCTGCATGGGAGATGGATGCCAGCTCAGCAGGACCACTGCTCCGCTCGTCATGAGCTTCTGTTGACGCCAACATGTAGCATCAAGTAAATATTTCAGCCAATGACATAGGACAGAAATTTCAGTGCTCTCATGACGCTGACCATATGTTAGGTTAACTGTAGGAGGTTTTATTCATGTCAGTTCTGTCTCTCCTGATGATTCTGCTTGATATTCTCTCACAAAGGCAAATTTAATTGGGGCAGATTGCATTTGCTGATGAGAATGCTATTTAGAGAACAACCCAATCTTGACTTGCTTCTTGCTGGTTAAACAGACAACACCATTAGTTATGTGCTTTGTTATGTCTTTCATTTTTTGTCATTAGCTTTTTAAAAATAATGCTTCTCGTCAGTACTGCCATCAAACTCTTTGACATTAGAAGAAGCAGATCATGACCAGCTGGACAGAGTGATGACCAGGATGAGAGCTTGGCTGTCTAGAGGGATTTCTCTTCTCAGGGCTATGGATCTATCTTTTTCTCATTTGAAAATTTATTAAGCTGTTCCTATAAAAACCTCTTACAGAATGTTTTGCCCTATCAATCTAATGACTTTCTGAAAGACAGTCCTTTATTTTTTTACAACACACCTTGCTGTTCCATGAGATGAGAGATTGTGGGAAAGAGGTTGAGGATGAAATGTTTTAAGATTTTTTGTGTGTAAAGACACAAAACACTTGGTGTTTCCATTGGGCTGAGCAGCAGAGGCTCCTGTCCTTTTGGTGTGACTGGTACCTGGTTTCATACTAAGAGCATTTTAGTCATGCAGGTTGGAATAACATAACTGATCTTTTCAAAGTTTCGCTCTTGAACTTTGGTTTTTATTTGGAGTATAAAAAAGAAATCATAAACATTGAAAAGAAAGGCTTAGTTATTGATAATCTGTAATTTAGTGAGTCTCATGATATGAAGCTTTGACTCAAACAAATGAATAAAATTTTTGTCTTGTCTCTTACATTGTGCTACTCTACTCACATTCTTTATTGTCAAATGCACATCTCAGGATTTCCTAAGAGCTGACTTCCCCAAGGTACTAGAAGTCCACACACACAGGTGGGTTTAGCTAGCATGTGCAAAGCTGTCAACTCCCACTGAAACCAGTGATTATCTGGAGTGAGGATTCAGTATTGGCTTTCTGGGACTTTGCAAAGAACTGTGTTTGTCTCTGTGGTGCTATTTATCTAACATCTCTAGAAGTTAGTTAACATAGGACTTTGTTTTCACGTGATTTTACAGATCATTGCTTACCAGCCCTATGGGAAGTCTGTGGATTGGTGGGCATATGGAGTGCTGCTCTACGAGATGTTAGCTGGCCAGGTAAGGGTTACCTCTTTGTGGCTCCAATGCTGCTCACTTTCAAAACTTGCTGAAGGGCCAGACCCTTAGGGGACAAGCATGGTGCCTTTCATCCTACTATTATCTCCATGTACTCTTGACTGTTTCCGACTCACTGAGAATGTAGGCTTTAAGCTCTTTGTATTTCACCCCCATAATAAAGCACTGCCTTTGAATATGGTTTCTTTGTACTGTAATGATGTTATAAATAGCCATGTGCAAAATTGAATGGGAGAGAGACACTTGAGTAGGAAAATGCATGTCAAATGGAAGAAACACCACTTAGTAGTTTGAAACCACAGGGAGATTGTGTCTATGCTGTGCATTGCAGTTAAGTCACAAGAATACAGTTTTTGTATTCTGTGTCCTAGGGGTAAAGTATGGGTCTCTCTGCTCTAAATAAGCTTAGTTACAGACCCCTTATTCTGCACAGTTAATGAGATTCTGCTCTCTGAGTCACTGAAGTAGAAAAGCAGTGCTGTTCTACAGTAAATTGCATATAACTACCAACTTCAGGAGCTCTATTGGTCTTGAGTTGGATAAGATTTGTGCAAGCAGCTTTCAATGAGCGTTAGCTAGAGGTATGCATTTCTTAAACTTAAAACATACATTTTTAACAAATGGGTTGAATAGTTTCTCTACAAAATCCCTTTTGACATTTTAGAAGTTTTTAAAGGCTTGCAGTGGCAGTTGTTAACATTTACAGTGTACAGTGCTAACATTAGGCAGCTGAGTGCTTTTGAGAAAATGAGATTTACTGCTAGCTGAGTCTTAACAGTGTCTGTACCCTGGGGACTCAGCCAGGGGCACTTCCCTCTTCACCTGTATTTGAAACTAAAATGCAACCTTGTATTGTGATGCTCTCCCACCTTCACAGAAGCAGAGTCTACAGCCACGTCTTATAAAAACAAACTGGGATTTATCTAGAATTAAGTGAGGGGTAGATATGCCTTCATAGAAGGTGACTGAAAGTTACAGTCTCCAAACTTTACCCTTTGAGGTACTTTTGGCTATCCAGTATACAGTAGCTTTAAAAGCTAATGAAAGATTATCACAAAGATAAAATCACTGAAGGTAATCCAGCAAACCTTTCATTAACTTTCTACCAAGCTGGGAGCAGAAATGAATTTTTCTCATCAATTTCTGTCTGAGACTGCTCAACACTAAGCTTCTGGGTCAGCAGGTCCCCAGGTTGCAGGTAGCTGGATGCTTGTTGTGTATTCCTGAGCAGGAACCACTGCTTCCACTGATGACTTTGCACATCTGTGATTGTCTGGAGGCAGCATGGATGCATCTTTCACTTGAGCCACTATGGCTGCAGTACTGCTATACCACCTCATAAAAAGTGGAGAATTAACAGCAATTTATTTTTTACAGCCTCCATTTGATGGAGAAGATGAAGATGAACTTTTCCAGTCCATAATGGAACATAATGTTTCCTATCCAAAATCACTGTCCAAAGAAGCTGTCTCCATCTGCAAGGGGGTGAGATAGACATTTCTTTATCATTAAGCTTCTTTTTGGCAATCCTTGTGAATAACTTTATTTGTCTGGCTTTGATACGGCGCTTAGTATTTTAAGTGTAACTTCTGTCAGGCTGTGTTAAGTTATATTGTCATAAAGTGCTTGTCTCTTGGTGTCACTGATAAGAATTCAGCTCCTCCTGCTGTGTCTGCTTATTTTATGGTAAGAACAAATGTCAGAGGCAGTAGCTGCCAAATCCAAAGCAGGAATTCCAAGCAGGAGGATGGTGTGAAACATCTCCACCCGCCTTGCCTCAGCCCTTGGCAGTGCCAGCCCAGTTTGGCAAGGTGGGGAGGTTTCCCAGTTTAGATGGATACTGCAGGGAACACGCTGTGGTCCTCAGCCCTAATCACAGCAGCAGAACAGAAGAGTTAATAAGAATCATTTTTCAATGTGAATAAAGATGAGCCTATGTTAAATTCTGTAGCATAAATACATGGGAACTGTGGGGAAATCTTGACCCAGTTGCAATCTGCGTGAGAAAAAATTTGTCTTAGATTGAGAGTTAATCTAATTTTTTTCATGGAAAATAATAAATTTGATTTGAAGGGATTAGCTCAGAAAACTAGAGTTTGACTGACTTTCTCTTGACTCCATGCAATTCCCCAAGGTACCATCATTCCACAGCTTTTCCAAACCATCCTCTATAAAGCCTTACTTTGATGTCTTACATCACTTTGCATCATGTCAGTTGATTTGGTAATGCCTTTTTTCCTTTCCTTTGCAAGCATGTAAGAAGTATTGCCCATAACTTGGATATTAATCCTGTAAGGAAAAATCATCAAGAAAAAGAAAAGCTGTTCAGAACAATGAAGTAAAAGGAAGGAGCACTCTTATTTTAGAACTTATCCAGTATAGACATGCTGCTTGTGGCTAACAAAAATTAGATGTTATATTTCTGTAAAGTACGTGCAGATTGATGCCTTGTTGTGAAAATTGTATGTTCACACAACACATCGTGAACCTGATCTAGTTACCTTGTTCTCAGCTCTCCTGCTTGCTGCCATTGCACTGTCTGCTTGTGCAAAGGGAGTTCAGAAGACTAAAATGACCACAGAGCCAGGCACGGTGGTGCTACCCACTGTGTATGTTGGGTTTGGTGGTCATAGTAACTTTGGGACAGAATTATGACTGCTAGATTCTCATTTTTCTTATTTCTTCTACTGTTAAAGCAAGGGGTTTCAAAAAGCTTTAAAAAAGAGGCAGAGTTGCTCTTAAGCATGAAGAATGATGTGATCCAGCCCAGCCCCAAGCTTCGCTGGCTTCCTGAAATTTGCTTCATATCTCTGTTATTTTAGGTTCTGAATTGGAATATGATCAAGTGAACATTTGGAGGAAGAGTAAAGTGGTACAGCTGAGGTTTTAAAAAGATGCGTTGTGGTATTGCTGCTAGCAGTGTATCAATCACATCTAATTGTAGAAGAGCTTTTAAAAGTCCCTGCAATACTGGAACTGAGAGCTGAAGGCTGCATTGCTCGATGCCTAATTGACAAACAAGATTTTTTATGAGCTTGTTAATTAGAAAGCACATTAGTGTTTCCAAGCATGCAATGCTGGTGTTGGTTTTTTTTCCTCAAGTCTTGATCAGTACAGCTGGGTGTAGTGTTGACCAAGATGTCGTTAAGGATGCGCAGGAGGAAGCGCGGATGAGATGCTGTCAGCTGGGTGCCAAGGAGCTGCAGGCTCCGTAATGAGACATCTTCAGCAGGCCCAGAGCAATGAAGGGAGGGCTGTGCTTCCCACAGCTCCAGCAAACTGGGATTTATTGTGTTCAATTGATTGCTGAGGTAGGGCAGAAGCTGTTCTGGAGATTTATAAGACTGAACCAAAAGACCAAGGATGGATCTGGGGAGCGAGCGGTGCGGCGAGGCCCACACAGCCCTGCGTCTGGCCGCGGGCTGCCGTCTCCTGTGACCAAACAGAACCTATTCTCAAAAAATGAATTTTAGCTTTCCACAGCAATTTTATTAGCAACTTCCATCTTCGAGAACATTGCAGTCTGGGGAAAGTCTGCCTTGCGTTCAATTGTAGTGCTCAGTGTAATCATTTGGTGTTTTCTTGCTCGGCAGCTAATGACTAAACATCCCGCAAAGCGCCTTGGCTGCGGCCTCGAAGGTGAAAGAGACATCAGGGAACACGCTTTCTTCAGGAGAATTGACTGGGAGAAACTGGAAAACAGAGAGATCCAGCCACCTTTCAAGCCCAAAGTGGTGAGTGGGGTGATGGCCGCGTCCCCCAGCACTTGTCTGCACTCCTGGGCTGGGATCTGTGCTGCAATTCCTTCAGGAGCAGCTGTAAATTGTTACATCTTACTGTTGAATCTTTGCTCTCTAACACTGTTTTCACTTCTGCTGAGATGCACAGAGATCTATAGCATGGCAGGTACAGGATTATTGCCCTGTGCTCTGATCTGTTTGTCATTGCAGATGTGCTAGTGGGCCACCACAAACTAGTGAACAGAGGCAGAGAACATTCCTCTCTTACTGCATACAAATGCCTTTTCCCCCTCACCAGGACAGGAGTTGTATGCCAAGAAGTGTTTTGTGCTAGGGGAAATCACCTTTTCCATATGATGTGGATTTTGCATGAAAGGAAAAGTATAAATAAGCAAAAAACCATGCATAGCACTGCTGATGCTGACAGAGCATTCCCAGAACTGTCTGTCAGAGGGGGAGCTTCAACTTCTTTACAAACATTTTATGTAAGGTTTTCATTATGTCCTTTTTGAGTCGAAATTGAAGCTGACCATAAAGCAAATCTACCTTCACAACCATAAGCTTTATTAACTTGGGAACTGAGTGCTCGTCAGCATGAAGATACGAAATCCTGAAATATGGTCTGGTTCCATCAGAGCACACTTTGTGGCAGATCCTGGCTCCTGTTCAGAGCAGCTGTTATCTTTCTCTGTGGTTATCATGACCCGTTTTGTTTATACAGGCAGCTATTGAAAGATACCAAGGAGATTCGGGCAAGCATTCACATGGAACATCATCTTCCCAGACAAAAACCATTTAAAATCCAAGTCTAATATTTACATACCCTGTGTATAACTCATTTATTGTGATTGCTGATTCTATTTGTATTGATTCCAAAACACTCAAACCTTAATTTGTTTTAAGATGTGGACGTATTTGTTGGCTTTGTTTTGTTTTCAGAAAACCTTCCCTAGGAAGCACTTTGCTGCAGGAGCAATCCTGCTGCTTTTGCAGACAGGCACAGTTCTCACTCCAACATGGAGCTGCAGATTTTGGGTCAGCAGTTGGTTGGTTTAAATAACATGTTTCTTTCTAGACTGACGATTCACAACTCTTAGGCGTAGGGTCATTGCTTGGCAGGAAAGAGATTTTCTCATGTTTGTAAGAGTTCTGGTGGTCTCTTATTCTCAGTCAGACTTTGGTTTCAAGATCTGGTTTAAATTCCATTTCTTGGGGAAAAAGGGAAAATAGAGCATAATTTTGTAGAAGCATCAGACATCTCCATCTATAAAGAAAAAAAAAAGTCTTTCCTGTGAAAACATCCCTGCTCTGAATTGGTTGCTCTGCCTTTAAAAAAAAAAAAACAAAACAGTTTTCCCCTTGTAAAAGTTCAGCTCTTGTCCACTCTCTGGACCAAAAGGCATTAGCCAGGATATTCAGTAGAAAAGCAGTCTGCCATTAACCTTTAACCTGTTCAGCTGTCCCTCTGCTTTCACTCTTCCAAGGTTGAACAAATGCCTGTTTGGCATCCCTCTGGTCCAGTACCTCAGCATGTATTTCTCATCTGAGATATAAAACAACTTGTGCCTGGGGCAGCAGAAGTTCTCTGTAGCTCAGACCGGCTGGCATGACCAAGTCTGTGTGCCAGGTGTGTTGTAAGTAATTAGGAAACTAACTGAGCTGTTTTCAAAATAGGTTATGAGCTACATGTCTCGCCCTTGAATTCCCCTAATGGCTCCCCTCCAGTTTGTTCCTCCTATAAATGTGCACCTATATTCATGTTAAGTTAGTTCAGAAAAATCAATGTTTTATATTGGCATATTGTACAAGTCATCTTCTGTCCTTTTAAAGTTACCCTCTAAGTCAGAAGATAATGGTTTAATGCAGTGTTATCCTCCAAATCCCAATGCAGATATATTCAGTAACAGAAATAAATGATAGTGCAGCTCTGCTTAAGGGTAGGGAGGAAGGGGTCAGGGACAATGGGAAGAAGTATTCACTGCGTGTATCACACATCTACTCTTTGAGGAGCTCTTATAGTAGCTGGATTTGAAATAAACAGATTTATGATTTGCCTTTGGACCTCTGTGCAGAATTGCTGTCTGTTTATCCCCAGATGAGCAGTCTTTCTTGCACCCAAACTCATTTTGTTCTGCTTTCAACTTCTCCCTTTTTCATTTGCTGCTAATTGTACTCTCCTGCCTCTCAACTGTTTCCACACCACTCCAAACTCCCCTTTTCAGCAAACTTGATTTCTTTTGTTTTCTGTTCTGAATGAAGAGCACTCAGTGTGGAGCTGTATATAACCACGCTTCTCAGTTGGGCTTCACAAGTCTCTTCTCTCAGACAAAAAAAGAAAGAAACCTGTGATAGCACATTTTGCAACGTGGGCCTGTTCCCAGGGTGCACTCCCTGCCCCACTTCCATTCCTAGGCAGGCAGCAGTTTGCTGCTCGTTTGGTCTGTTAGCTCCTGCAGATGTTTGGAAAGAAAAATATCTCCCATTTCATTTCATGGAGCTGATTGTCATTACTGCTTCTGGGGGCTAAACCAGGAGGAAGTTTGGAAGGCGAGGATCGAATACTTGCTGTTCCTGTACATCTCTGCAGTGTGCATCCAGCACTGAGACATACAGAATCACATGGACTGTCTTGTGCTGAGGAGCACTGGTGAGGGCAGTTGGGTCCCAGTTCCTACCTTTTAATTCACACACAATGCAATGTTCTTCAGATGCTGCTAAGCAGTTCAGTTCCTTTTCTGTGCTTACTGCTGTCTGAAGAGAGCCAGGTCTGCCTCCGTGTCTCTGCTCCATACTTTGAGGGCTCTCTGGTTGTGCTTGCAGTTCCCACGTTGTTCCCTGTGAGGCTGCCCAGGATTTCAGTACTCTGCAGTGCCTCATTTCATTTCTGCTTCACAGAGTGGGACTGAAGTGTGATTTGGAATAAATACCTTCTGGAACCAAGCATGTTCCTGATCTAATAATAGACAGCTGCATTATAATGTGGTATAATTTTGTAGTAATGATTATACACAAACACACTCACGTGCATGCAAATGGATCTATATGTGTATGCAAATCTGTTCATAATTTCCCAAATGTTACAACCGTATTTCCTTTAGTAAAACCTGTCTCTATATTTAAGCTTCTTTAACTTGCCATCTCATGGTGCTTTTCACCACAACTCATCAATTAAAGCTTCTCTATTTGCTTGGGATTGTTATGGTTCAAATATCTGAAAATGTTATCTTAATTACTTGTAAGACTTGCATTCGTCCTGAGAAATCTGCAGACGGCCAGAACTGCTGATGTATTGCTGATCTTTTCAGTCCTTTATTTTCTTTTTTTTGTTTTCTTGCAGTGTGGCAAAGGTGCTGAAAACTTCGATAAATTCTTCACACGAGGACAGCCGGTGTTAACCCCTCCAGACCAGCTGGTCATTGCTAACATAGATCAATCCGATTTTGAAGGGTTCTCCTATGTCAACCCCCAGTTTGTACATCCCCTCCTAGAAAATGTAGCATGAAACAGCAGAACAGGAACAAATCCCGCAGTGAACGGTTCTTAACCCTAAAATTTTTAGGTTTTTGCCTTGATTCCATTTGGGCCTGAAAATTATAGGGTTAAAAAGTGTAAGATGGGGGGAAAGGCCACTTAGTGAGGATTTTGGCTTTGCAACCGAAACGTCTTAATGAGAGAGAAATTAGCGTACGGTGCCCGTTTCTCCTACTAGAAGTCTCCACTGACTCGTCTGAAGTTCCCTGTTTTTGGTACATTCTATAGTTTTGTAGCTCCCCACTGTCCTTTTGCTCCGTTTTTCACTCTGCCGCTGTTACAAATAATCCAAGACCTGACCTGAGAAGCACCTCCAGTACTCAGTCCTTGCAGGGGACCAGAGCTCCCAGCTCCTATGGGCGCCATGGGGCGAGCAGCGCATGGGAATGGAGAGCGCCGGGGAGGAGAGGCATTGCAGAACGTGGTGGAAAGCAGTTGTTACCAAAACCTGGCAAATAAATACGAGTTGGGAGTGGGAGGGTGGGGGGGGATGAAATCCAATGAGAGCCCAAAGCTTGGTGAACCAATCCTGTAAGCAATGCTGAATTTAAACACGCTCCGGCAGTGGCCAGATCTCTAGATCTTTGCTAAGTAGCATGTGATAAACTCGAGGGTGAAGTTTTGTCTTTAATAATAATAATAGTAATAATTTTAATAATATTTTTGTGAATTTTAATCTCCGTGAGATTATTCTGTGATCCAGGGTGCCATTGTTTGTTCAGTTGATTTCATTTATGCCACTCCTCAAGCTCACTGTTGACTGGTTCTACTAACACCGATGTTTTACTATGAAGTTTGTTAACCTGGAATGTAAAACAGAACTGTAATCCCTTACATCTTATTTACGTGCGTGTGTTTGTAGTCTGCATTATAGGGCAGTAAACTGAAGGAAGTATTGTATGCTAAATTAACAAAAACGCAGTCCCAGGTGACTTCCTGATTTGTCCAGAACAACTCATGAAAATTAATTGAGATTTAGTTCTACAATAATCGATTTTAACTCAGAAAACTTGGGGCTGTACAATAATCAAGCTTGGAAGAAGCACCTAAAGCTTGTTTTATTGATAGAATGGAATTTAATACATTTTACATATGCTTCATGCAATGAATTTTGCATGTTTAGTAATAACTCTTAATAATAAGAGTTAATAATAAGCAGTTCTATATTGACATAATCATATCAAGCATACAGAGTATTATAAAAGTTTTATAAAACAAATTGTGCTTTATTTGTGGAAGTACTTGTTCTGAACAACATCATTTAGGTTTAGCTAAATGTTTTCTCGCTGTTGTTTTGGGTTGTTTTTTTCTAGTTTTTGGATATTGTTGATGACTTAGGGTATCATCTGTTTTTTTAAATGTAGATCTACTTTTAAACAATAACTGCTACCTGCAGGTTTTATACAAGTTTAATTAGGCTTTCATTTCATGTCTGCTGATTACTTACAGGGAAGGAAATAGATTTTATTTGCAATGATGAACACTGTAATTAATGCAATCTTCTCCTCTCCTATCTCACTTAGATACAAATTTTGATATTTCCTCTTAACAACTTACCAGAAGATCTTAATTCAAATATCAGTAAATATTTTTGTGCTTTCTTTGGTTTTGTTACAGCATGTAAAATAGTAGGTGGTGCGTTTTCCTTTTTTCCCCTTCTGCCTTGTCAGTGGTAGCAGCCATAGGCACTCTTTGTCTGTCGGATGTGCATGACGATGCCAGAAGCATGATGTCTCTGTTGCTGCATGCAGACTGAATACAGTTTTTCCAGCATGTAAACATATTCAAAAAGTCAGATATTTGCCATAAAAGACTTACATTTATACTAGAATATGTAACCGGAGGGTGGGAGTGGGAGGGGGGGAGGAATCTACTTTCTAATCATCTTTTATTACAATAAAACATTGAGCCTGTGCCAAAGATTCTGCCAGAAAAGATCCAGTCCTGCAGATCGGATGGCGATGATGTGCAGGAGTGACCCTGTGGCTCATGGGACAGTTTGTGAGCAAACCGTGGTTGGATGTGATCAGAAGCGGTGCTCCTGCACCACGTATGCCTTCCAAAGCCGTCCTTTGGCGCCTGGGATTTGCAGCACTCCAGTTGTGTGACCAGCCCTGCTCCCTTCGTGGTCACAGCTCTAAGGTTGGAGCATCCCCAGGGAGGGCTCAGCTCATGGTGGATGGACCCAGCGCTGACACATGGCATCCCCCAACGAACAGCTCCCCAGGTTGTTGCCTAAATAAACAGAACTCAAACATTCTAACATATTTTAGGAGTACAATTTTTCAACTATCCAGTGGCAAATATGTCATCAACCAAGTCTGGGCATTCGTTTTCCTCTTTGTGTATTATATACCTGAAGGTTATGGTATGTTGTTTGCCATAAAGCATGTGGACTAGTGCAGCATTCACGACTATTTCTGTTTTTCTGATTATTACTAGCCTGCCATAGTTTGGGGATGTCTGGGTGTCATGCTGTAGAAGATAATAGATTGAGCAGATTGTGGAGGTCAGATGTTGAGGAAATAAGGGAGCTCTCAGTGTTTAAGCCTGCTAGGAGCAGGCAGCAGGTGTTTTGGGAATGTGAAAGAGGGACTTCTGAAATGAGGACTAGATGTCCTCTAAAGGTCCCTTCCTTTAGATTCTAAAGGATTCTATGGTTCTATGATTCTATGGTTCTATGAAAAGGAAAATACGAGGAGACAGAGCAAAGCATGGGTATGTGGAGCAAGAAAAGCAGCACGTGGTGCAGCTCCCCAGCCCAGAAAGAGGCAGAAGAGAAAATCAAGAGATGTTCCTGAATAATTCTGTTGTTACTCGTGAGGAGCTGTGCTGGGATGTCCATCTGGAAGTGGTTGCTGCTGGCAGAGCAGTGACATGATGCTCTCACTGGCAGTAAGGAGCCGGTCCAGCCTCTGAATGGAGCTGCTCGCTTTGTGGCTGTTCCTCATAAAACATTAAATATCCAGCAAGTGCTTTCCCATGTTTTTTAATGCGGGTGTTATTTATAAAATGTTTCTCACAAGACGTGGCTTCCTAGAGAGCATTTGTCAACCGAGGCGTTAGGACTGCCTTTCTTTCCTTCATACTCAAAAGCACTCCAGTCCTTCCCTTCTAATGGAGCGAGGCCATTCCCATGAAGGATGTGATGGAAACATTTGAGGTGACTTTGAGTTTGTGGTGACTTTGAGTTCTTGTCATCATTAGCATTATTGTGCATTTAGGTTCCATCTCTTTGCAGCTCCAGGGTGTTTGCTGTGTGCTAGGCAGGCACTGAGCTGCAGTGTAGTACAAGAGCAGCTGAGCTGCAGCTCCCCATGCTTACATGTAGTCGTTGAGTGGAAGACTTGAATAAGAACTGACTCCATAAACATCACTTCATATCAACCAGTGGCCATGCCAGCAGCAATTGGTGATCAGCAGCCTTACAACAAGGAGCCATCGTGCACTACAGCCCTTCTGCTCCCCAGAGAGTCACAACAGAGAGGCTGAGGCCCTGGGCTGCTGCTGTCCCTGCCTCAGTTACTCCTCTGTCAAACAGGGGTAATAATATTGCCTTGCAAGGGTCTGAGGACTTCTCAGTTCATGTTTCTAATGCACTTTTAACCTGGAAAGAGTTGTGTAAGTATTATTATAATTTTTACTATTGTATCGGCATATTCGACTCGTGTGGTATCACTGGTTATACCATGGGGTGTTTCTACTTTTTTTGTATGACTTCAGTAATTCTACTGAAACCATTCGAAGGAGAACACAAACAGATGTGATACGTTTCTTCCAGACTGCGGAGTGCAGCCTTTGCTGAGGGGTGAGGGAGGACGTGCAGCTCTCTCCCTTCCTAACACTGAGATTTCTATGTGCAATGTGATGATTCCATGTCACTTGAGGTCTTAGCAGAACTGACAGCTGTAGGATATGATTCCCTATGGGTAAATACCATTAGCACAGCTCTTTTCTAATAACGTTTGTACTGACTCCTGCTGGAGGAGGAGTGATATTTGTTACACAGCTGCTCCATCTGAGACAGTTTTATTCCAGTGAGATTTTAGTGTATCCCTGTGTCGTGTATCCTCATGCTTTTCTGTTGCTTCCGCGTGACGCCGCAGTCCAAATTTAAAAGCCAGAAGTGTTGGTGGCAGGAACATCTTAACAGAGAAGGAAATGAGGTCTCTGTGATCTATAAACCTTTTCCCATCAATTATTGGAAGCGGTACAGCTGTATTCCTCCCAGTCACAGGGAAGCAAAGCTGTTGGTGGCAGTGATGCAGTGTTTTGGTCTTTCCAGGGAGTGCTGCTGTCTTGGAGCAAGGCAGCAGGGGAAGCCCACAGTGCCCAGAGCCCAACCAGTGCTCCACAGCTTCACTGGATCCCATCCTGCTCCCAGTCCCAGCATTGCTCCCACAGCCCCACAGCTCCCACCCTGCCCAGCACAGCCCCAGCCCTCACACAGAAGCCCACAGAGTCCTTCATCAGCTCTCTCACGTGTTATTAAAATGAATGTAAGAAAAATAATTTCAACAACGTGAAGCGTGCCATCTCTTCTGAACACATTTGGGGCGATCCCAACTCGTGTTTGATTTTGCACAGTGATGCAGAACACACCTGAAACATTTGAAATGATTGCATGTTGTTTCAACGCTATCCTTTATTTAAACAAGGAGCCATGCTACCTTGAGCTCATTCATATTTTTGGATGTTATTTTAATACCCAAAGCTTGTATTTATAAAGAGGAGAACATTATTTATTTTCTCATCATTTGTTTTTCTGCAAGATGCTACCAGGAAACTGGGAGGTGCCACTGACCTTTCTAAAAATCAGAGAAACCACATTGGAAGTGTAGTGGGCAAAACTGGTGTATAAATTATAGCATCTTTTTTTTTTTTTTTTTTTTTTTTTCCTTATTCCTCAAGATCTTCAGTCTTTGTTTGCATGAAACACTTTTGTTAAATATGAATTGTAGTTTCAAAGCAAGTGTGTGCAAATAAAAATACTGATCATTATGTTGGAAGAGTTTGCTCTGCTTTGATGGGAATTCATTTCCAAACGTGCTGTGCAGATGCTCTGGTGTGGATGCTCCATGCTGCCATCAGCCGTGGGCCTCACTGGGATCCAAAGCAGGATCCTACTGGACTGAAACCCTCGTGCACAGAATGCCAAGCTGAGCCCTTGTTAAATTCCTGTTAATAAATCAAGAGAACAAGAGGGTTAACTGGGGGAAAAGGGGTGTGTGTACAGACAGCCTGCAATCTGGTGCAAGTGCTGCTGTTATGACAAAGGGAGTTAGGGGTGGAAGTGCAGCTCATGGTTTTCCTGCACCCCAGCCTGATGCTCCCCCTGTTGGGGCTGATGTCATTTTATTTTCAAGATTTGGAAGCCATGTACAAATGCGGACACATTCTTTCTCTGCTGGCTCTCAGACATATTGCATCTTGTGCTAACTCAGTAATTGAGTTAGTTTAATTTGCAGAAAA